CCATTCATCAAGAGGCACTGCCCAGAGGCAGGGCAGAACTGAGTGCCACATTCCTGGACTGGCACATCTGTGACCTCAATTAGCTCTTTCCTTTGTAAAATACCTACCTAGTCTCTGGCATTTTTTGATGTCAACATAAAATTGACAAAGACAAAATATGCTCAATTAAGTTAGGTTCCAAATGGTTCGAATGTTCTGCTTACATGTAAGCAGAAGTTTTAGTTACACTAAAGTTTTCCACTTTCACTGATGAAGAAGTTTATATAGAACAAACTATATTTTTGCAAACTAGAAAATACTACTAACATTAAAGTCAAGGAAACAAATCATCTGTAAAAACAAAACACTGAGTCAAGTAAAACCAAGATTTTATGTAGACATAAAGACAGAATCTTACAAGTTTCCCGCAATGCGGTTTTAGGAAATTCTTTGGAATCACCTCTTCTAAGTCGAAGATTAACTTCCAACCAAGCCATCTATGATAGTAACATACAAAAGCACATTGGGACTGGCGCAGTAGCATAGTGGCTAAAGTCCTCACCTTGCACACATTGGGATCTCATATGGGCACCGATTCTAATCCCAGTTGCACTGCTTCCCACCCAGTTCCCTGCTTGTGGCCTGAGAAAGCAGTCAAGGACGGCCCAAACCCTTGGGACCCTGAACCCACATGGGAGAACCTGAAGAAGCTCCAGACTCCTGCCTTTGGATTGGCCTAGCTCTGGCCACTGTGGCCACCTGGGGAGTGAATCATTGGATGGAAGATCTTCCTATCTGTCTCTCCTCCTCTCTGTATATCTGAATTTCCAATAGAAATTAAAAATAAATCTTTAAAAGAAAATAAAAAATAAATATATCTTTTTAAAAAGTACATAAAAAATCTATATTATGAAAAACAATCAATCTGAAATATTTTCGGCATCACAATTATTGTTCAACTACATTTTAACATTAATTTGTAAAAGTATTTCTTTGTCCCTTTGTAGATTGATTAAAATTTGTATTGTTTGATTTTGTTAGAAGGGAGACACATATAAACACATACCTAAACACTCAGGAAGAGAGAGAAAAATGGATTCTCTCTAATGGTCCAGTTGTCTAACACCATAAACAGCTTAGGTGGGGTCAGGCTGCAGCCAGAGCCTGGACGTCCATCTGAAGTTTCTCAGATGGATGGGAGGAGCACAGCTACGTGAGCCATTACCTGCTGCCTCCCTGGGTCCCCGTTAGCAGAAATCTACAATGGAAGGGTAGAACCACACCCAGGTATGTTACTATGTCAACGTTCCAAGTGTCGTCCTAACAGATGTACCAAACACCCAGTCCTTTTTCTGGATTCTAAATTCAGTTTTAGAGCAAGCAGGTTAGATGACTGACCTCCTTGATTAAGGCATAAAACGATTATTTTCAAGAATAATTTCCAAGAACATATCAACCACTCAGGGCAGGGGAAGTGTGAGGTGTGGGGGAGCACTCCACTTCCAGTCATATTGTATACAGATTCGTCAGTCCAAACTGTACACTAAAAGGATAAAATGAGTGACATCAAATTGGTGATTCATATCAAAATACTGAATGAGAATATTTTTTATAGATTTTATTTAATTAGACAACAGTACCTACAATAAGAAGCTAAGACGGCCCAGCACGGTAGCCTAGAGGCTAAGATCCTCACCCTGCATGCACAGAGATCCCATATGGGTGCTGGTTTGTATCCCAGCTGCTCTGCTTCCCATCCAGCTCTCTGTTTGTGGCCTGGGAAAGCTGTAGAAGCCCGCCAAAAGGCTCGGAACTCTGCACCTAAAAGGGAGACCTGGAAGAAGCTCCTGGCTCCTGGCTTCAGATCAGCTCAGCTCTGGCCATTGCAAACACTTGGGGAATGTACCAGCGGACAGAGGATCTTTCTCTCTGTCTCGCCTTCTCTCTATAAATCTGACTTTCCAATAAAAAAACTAAGTTAAAGAAAAAAACAACTAAGACTAACAAACACAATAACAAAAATGTAGATGAAGCAGAAAATTTGATATAGGATTATGAATAATCAAATAATACTTTTATTCTTTGCTCAGAATTCTTCATTAATGAGCAATATTCTTAAATGATAGAAATTTGATATTTGATATTATATAGAATAAAACTATCACAGAAATTATTTGAGCATCAATATTTTATTTGATGTGAAATTACAATCTTAAAGACTTTTATGAAACAAGCACACAATAGAATCTTGGATTTTTTTTTGTTATTGCTGTTTCTGAATATTCCAGTAGATATAATTTTGTGCAACTCAAAAAGAAAATAGCTATTGGGTTTTCTTTTTGTGTCAAAATGGCCAAAGTAAGATTACATTAAATCATGAATCAACAGAAGTAACCATTTTTGACATTAATATCATGATTTCAATATCAATCATGAGTGAGTAACAAAAGCCAGCAGCTTTTAAAGGCATCGGCTACAGTAGTAAGCTCAAGATAACATCAGTACATTAACAATTCAAGCATTATAAGCATGTCAGAGCAGTAAGAAAATACTGCAGCACTAATCTTATCAGTTTGGGGCAATTTATATCCACAGGGACACCATTAGAATTTTCTCGGGAAGTTTAAGCTATAGCATTCTAGCAGACACATAGAAAAAGGGGAAAAAAATGCTAATAAAAAAAAAATCTTCCAAATAAACCCAGAAGGAGGAGCAAGTAAGTGTCTCTAGGCAAATATCACACTAACTGACTCTGCAATACAAAACATTGTGTTGACAAAGAGAAAATGCAAGTTCTCGTCTTCTTTTGCTTGCTGACAGAAATGCAACATACCGCCTGGCCTGAATGACCCTGTTCATTGAGCTAAGGTAAGGAACTGAAAAATGTGGCTGCTGGGATAGGGGTGGGATGGGGTGTGTAACGTGGCACAGTACAGTGTTTCCCAAAGTGTGTTCCAGATGTTTCTGAGATTATTTTTACAAGGACAAAATGAAGTGTGTGTGTGTGTGTGTGTGTGTGTGTGTGTGAGAGAGAGAGAGAGAGAGAGAGAGAGAGAGAGATCTTTGTGGCTGCAGGTACTGATTTTCCACATTGGAGGGAAATGCATGTACTTCTTTCTAATATAGGTATCTAATAGAAACAATTATTGCATTTAAGAAAAAAATCAGATTCTGTCCAAGTAGGAAGTGATGGGGTTTCCCTAACCCTGTTAAAAGCTTGGAGATTGACTATTCAGTTTAACCTCTACACTAAGGAAGATTGAGAACAAGGCATGTGAAAAACAGATAACTAAACATATTAGTGTAATAGCCAATTTCCTTCCCTTACTTAACAGTCAAGCATGAGGTATGTAGTGAAAAAAGTATTCTTTAACAAATGGATGAGGGCTGTGCTTAGATCGGTAGTTAACACGTCCAAGTACCCCATGCGGTTCCTCACGCCCCTTGCCTGCTAATGCAGACCCTGACAGGTAGTAATAATGACTCAAGAAACTCATTTCCAGCCATCTACATGGGACACTTGCGATGTGCTCCTGGATAACAGCTTCGACCCCAAGTCAGTGCCAACCATCATACGTACCAGGGAGCAGTCCAGAGACAAATGGCCTGCTCTAGCTCCATCTGATAAATCAAAACGGCATGCAGTTCAACCTTAAACTGGGACCACAAAGGATGGCAGGATGTGTGTGTGTGTGTGTGTGTGTGTGTGTAAGGTAGAGCCCCAAGAGGGATGCACCAAGATTCAAGACCAATCACCTACCATATCTTTACTAACTCCAAGAGTCAAAGACTTCTCTGGTTTTCCAGCATTGACCCAACCCACTCCTCATAACCTGATTATCATCTGAGGCTATCTTTCCATCACTTACAAAAACATACACCTCTCCCTAAAGACTTACAATTGGAAGCTACTAAAGATTCTCCCAGACGGCAAGAAAATATAGGCAAATCTTGAGTCTCAAGATCATGTTCTCGGGCTTACAATCTCATTCACAATCCACACAACTATTAATTTGGCATGAATAACATTATTTTCTTGGTATTCTGTTTTTCAAAATAAGCCAACTGCCCTGAGCATGAATAAGATCCTTGGTAAGCATCCGATGATGGATTCAGTCCCATCTCTCTGAGTAAGATGAGTCAGCTCTCCAGGCCTTTCAGATAATCTTATTTTCATTAAACAGAATTTATCAGCCACCTAATGAGAAGGCATTTTTCCAAACAACACAACGCCAGAATTCTCCTTGTAAGATCCGGGCATCTGGGGGCCAGTACTGTAAATCAGCCTTGTAAAGCCATTGTCTGCAGTGCGTGCATCCCATGTGGCACTGGGTGGTGTCCCAGCTGTGCCATTTCTAATGCAGCTCCCTGCTAATTTGCTTGGGAAAGCAATGGGATTTGGCCCAAGTGCTTGGGCTCCTGCACCCACATGGGACGCCCAGCAGAGTCTCCTGACACCTGGTTTTAGACCAGGTAAGCTGCGACCATAGCACAATGCAGTCATTTAGGGAGTGAACCTGTCTTTCTCTACCCCCTTCTCTAGAAGTCTGTCTTTCAAATAAAGTAGTACATAAATCTTTTTTTAAAAAGATACATGTATATTTTCCTTTAATAAGTACTAATCATAAACCAGTATTACTGTGGAAAGTCTTAATGCTAACTCTTTAAAAGAACATTGCGATCAATTACAGTAAGCAGTTGGGAGAAAGAGGGGCAAAAAACCTTGGAGATTGGTCAAGTCACAACCAACACTTTTTAGGGTCAAGAAAGGATCTTTCAGAATGGAGATTACATAATGAGCATTCATGTTTCAATCCCTAGAAGCAAGAACAGGAAGAATCTGGCATAGCAGAAAAAATCCCGACATTTGCTACATTCACGTAAAAAAAAACTGAACTAGCGCCAAGCATGAGTGCACCATGAAGGCAGGCAGGCAGACGGTCGCACACTGCCTGTGTCTAGCCGTGTTACACGGCCCCAGCCAAGGCACAGCTTCTCCCCTGCAGACAGTAGCTCCTTACCTGTTGCTGCACGGGCACCTGCTGCACCACCTGTGTAGGCACCGCTGCTTGACTGGCCACGGACGTCTGCAAAGTCACTGTGGAACCTGTGTCCGACCCAGTCTCTGATGTCTGCATGATGGGCTCTGAAACGCACAAACAGAAAGACACAGTTCACAACGCTTCCCCAGCCTGACCACCTTCACTACATGTGCTAATATTCTGTATTTGCCTATCCCCTCATTAGCTCTTATTCCAGCATCCTGACCCTTTATGAATGCTTATATAGCCACTGCAACCACTTTTTAAAGTAAGGGCCAAAAAATTACTAATCCAGAGTTTTTAAAGCTCTATTTGTACCTCTTATTCTCAGACTCAGAGGTTGGACTTGATTGAAAGCATCCTCCTTCAGATCTTACCTGTTATAAAGGGCCACAATCTTTTTATAAACTGCTGTCCAAAATTCTGTCAAGGAATTGTTAATTCTCAGAACACAAATGCTATGTGGATTATATATGTACAATGCTATGTAATTATATCATGAACTACAATTTCTGCATACTTTTACAGTCTATCAGTCCATAACTGGAGGAGTACAAATGATAACAAATCATTTCTAGGACATTTTCCAAGACACTATTCAGGAGTCAAAAATAAATTAATATGTGTCCTAAACATAATGGAAATGGTAGGATACTGAGTGAAAATCAAAATTTAATTATACTCTCACACAATGAGAGCTAATTATCAATGATATTTACAGTTTTGAAGGATGAGGAGGACCTACCCTCTGGCAAATAAATGAGATTTGTAAAGAAAAACATGCAATTTGACTCTTTTTCTCAATCCAACATGCCATTTATTTTTTGTTCATTTCTTATGTAACACAGGGTTACATTTTCGCCAGCATTTACTCTAACAAGTATAGTTCTTCAGGCTTCCTGCCTTTGACACCTCCTTTTGTTATGTATGTATTCAATAAAATAAATATGTGTCTCTGAGAATGAGTGGTGACCAGAAATCTAATTTTCTTTCCTAGGGGGAAAACGGGTTTTATCTGGTAGCCTAAGAAAAATATTGCATCAGGGTTTAAATTTGTGAAGAATAATTGTGAGCATTAATTTTCTCTCAGGAATTTCAGTTCTTCCAAAGATCAAATTAACCTCTCTCAGCATGTTCTGTCACAGCAAGACCTCTCCCAATTTGTTCTCCAAACTTGATATGATCACATTCAGCTGTAGAAATGGCTTTGTGGAAACATCAAATCTATTCTGATTTTATCCGAGGACAGAGAGGTTAAGAAATTCACTCAAGTTGGACCATTACAGACAAGGGATCAAGACTTTTTGCTTTAAATCTGTGCATAATTTTCTTTGCAGACTTTTAGACTAGAATCTCTCTAGGTGACGGGATATTATTTTGGGAAACCCTACCCCAGTACGCTATACTTTAATATGGAAGGTATGCTTTCGATATAATATACAACAGCATTGATTGTTTGACAGACACTCAGTAATTGTCAGAAAGGCTTTAAATGTTATTTCACACATAAATTAATTCATGCAGCAAAATACAGTTACTACTATAACCTTCCCCCGACATGTACGGAACTTGAGGAACAGAAGGGTGGAGGCTGTGGGTAATATTCATCAGTGCCTGGTCAGCTCCGTGATATCGGGATCCAGAGAAAGCCAACATGCAGATGCTCATTCTTCAATTTTCCAAAAGAAGGTGAAAACCTCACAAACACTGGCTCGTTTTTTAAAATGCACCACACACACACACACACACCGTGCTTCAGGACTAGCATTAAGATCACAGATATGCCTAACAAGTATGAGAACCGAAGTAATCCCTATACTCCCAAAGCAACACTCAAAGAAAGACCACTGGAGGACCAAGGGCTCCGCACTCTTTGGGAGATGGTACACAAGTTAGGAACCCTATCCGTGCTTCTTTCACCTTCTTTCATTGTAGAACCAGATGGGCAAAAACACCCCATACTTCAACCCCCACCTCACCAAAACAACCACCACGAAGGGACATCCTCCCTTTAACTCTTTCCTTTTGGGTTGCCATTTTCATGTGTGTTACAACAGAGCACTCTAAGCAAGAACCGAGGCATGAGCTAACCATCAGACATCATCTGCAGTGAGGTTCCCTGGGCCACTCTTGTACCTCCAAGACTCCTGATAGCATTTGCCAGTTGAAGATATGGATGAGAAAGCAGGCTTTGCTGCTAAGGGCTTGTCCTTTAAAATGCACAATCAAGGGTGAATCAGTTTTCTCCCAGAGTGCCTCCCTGCCTGACGTTCCTTATTTCCCCAAGAACTGACTGAAAACTTTATCAAGGTTAGTTTGTATCCCCTCACAGTGCATCTTAAAGCATTCTACATAGCCCTTTGGGTACAAGACCCATGCATTTTGACAGGCACCGTGCAAGATCAAACATACATAAGAAAGAAATGCCCTTTAAAAATTAAATTTACCTTCAAAGGAATCCTTAACCAACTCTCAATAAACTGCCTAAGAAAGCACAACAGAAGATAAAAAGAATATATTTGGAAAGTGACCTATGAACCACACACTAGATTTCACAGACACAACATGTTTTGCTCACGGAGATTACAAAACAAAATTCTTATCTGCCAATATTTTGTAAGCAAATTATCTAAATGGCCATCTTATAGCCATTCACATCCCTGACCCCTGCTGGCATTTGAATTTGTGATTCTTCGGAGGGTAATGAGAAGTTTACTCCTACAAACAGACTAAAAAGTGGAAAAAATGCTTTAAAGCAATAGTGATGACACACTGATTCACTGGTGTTGTTGAGAAGAGTAATAGCAAGCTCTGAGCACTGAACCGATAGAACATGTAACTAGATGACATAAACTGGGATCTCCATCATCCGTGTCACCTGATGCCCACAGATGTTCACTTAGGTACCCAGCTACAAACTGGGAAGGCGGTGGTCAAACATCAGACTGCGCAGGCCCAGGCACTGCACCGCTGTACCTGATGGAGGTTTGGAGTTTCATAACAGATGTTGCACAGATGGACTTGAGGAGAGTAGAGAAAAACAAACTGCTGGGACTGGCGCAGTGGCAGAGCAAGCTTATCGTCTAACCGCACAGCCGGCATCTCACGTGGGAGCTGGTTAGAGACCTAGCTGCTCCACTCTCGATCCTGCTCCCTGCTCACAGCTTGGGAAAGCAGTGGCGGGATGGCCCCAAACCATGGGCCCCTGTACTCAATGCACAAGACCTGGGAGAAGTTCCTGACCTTCAGCTTCAGAAAATCCCAGCTGTGACCACTGCGACCATTTGGGGAATGAAACAGCAGATGAAAGAGCTCTTTTCTATGTCTTAACCTCTCTCTCTGCAACTCTGACTTTAAATTAAAATAAATAATTTTCTAAAATACATAAAAACAATGCTTTCAAAATGAGTTTTGAGAGTGAAGAAAAGATGTCAACCATTCAACAGAACAAATGCTTACAGACAGAATAAGTAAATTAAGACAGGTAGAAAACATCAGCTTGTAAAACGTAAGACAGGACAGTCCTGGAGAACTTTCTGCCCAGCATCTAGCTCTACCCATACAGCCACAGTAATGCTGGCACCTGATGCCCAGTTCAGGTCAGTCACAGAACAGACCACAGCAGTTGCTTTTCTTTTCCAAGTTATCACAGACTCATTTCTTTGGTTTGTGGATGATAAAGTGAAGTCAAGTGATAAGCAGTTAGTCTCTTGGTATTGTCTCAATTTTTCTCTCATAGACAACTTCATTTTTGACTGACTCCATTGTCTTCCTGACCTTAAGGAACGGGCTCTTTGCCAATCTCATGACTGGAGAAGACTCCGACCACAGCCCTCCAGAAACTGGCTCAAGGGATAGCAACCTTAACTTTCTCTCTCAGTCTTTTCCTGTGCTGGGCACAATAGTGTTTTAAATTCATATCCTAGTTTAATTCTTAGAACTTTGATGGAGTTGTTGTTCTCCCCACTTTAAAAATGAGGAAACCAAGGCACAAACAGATTAAATGACTTGTAAAGAGCCATATAGCTAATAAGTGGAAGAGTTTGAATGCAGATTCTGAAAGCCAGGATGTGGACCACTCCATATGCGACTTGACCATCCCATGATGATAGGGCTTCCAAATGAGAAGCCAGAAATGTTCTGAGCAGCAGTCTTTAGGACTTTCAATCCATCCTATTTCATCCATACTTCTAACAATAGGCAGGCTCCCTCTCCTCTTTTTCTGATATCCAAATTGGAAGGGATCCCCTGTGTTTCCCCTGAGGCCATAATGAAACTCAACTACTAAAGTATTTTTCCAGAGGCATTTTAACTCATTAATTCTTTAGACCTCATTTAATGGAAGATGAATTAGAATGTTAAAGTAGGTTTGAGGTGTATACCCCTCCCCATCCTCCCAATTTTTACTAAACAGCTCATTTAAGTGCTCAGACACATTCAGAGTACCCTAACAGAATTCAGAGATTTCCAACGTTTCTGCAGGGTAAAATCCCTGCACGCTGGCAGTGTCCTAGCATGTACCACGCGTTGGTGTTGTTTTACTCCCAGGATTACAGTTTATGGGTACATATGAGGTGCTGCCATTCACCCACCACTGGTTTCTGATGCTTTGTTTATGTTTGGGAGTAATTTGGTTAGCTCAGTTTCTTCACAGCCTCCTTTCAAGTAATATTTGTTTATCAGTCACAAATGCAGTCACATTAATCCATTTTGATAAGCTAAATAAACCCCTGCAGTTTGTCAATGATGTAGCCCATATGCAAATGAGTGGCATATTCTTGCAGGAGAGACATGCACAATTTCAGTCTAGTCATCCTTGCCTAATGTGGCTGTCAGGTGTGTCAGGAGCAACAGATGCTTGTTTGACAAAGGACCTTTTTATTCTGGCTAATTAAGCAGTTGGACACACCCGCCTGTTAATGGCTCTGCTTTGTACAGCCAGCTCTGGCTGAATCATATGAGTCTACAGCTAAATAGGCCACATTTTGAAAGAAGGCTAATTAACCCCTAGGAAAAGGAAAAAGACTATTGCAAAAACCCAGCTGCTGAATGCAGCAAGATTAGCATTTCTTCAACCTGATGGGTAAAACCTAGACAAATCAAA